TCATTAATTAAAATCATATCAGGTTAATGCATGAAGGAGACATTAAATAAGACTACACAGACTTAATTAACCTGTACCCCAATTTTCGTGTCTTTGACTTTACAACTTCAGTAATATTTCAGCATGGTACCTGTATGTGTGCCTGTGCATTGATTATAGCCTAATTAACTTGTTCTGAAGTAATAAAAGACAGATTTCCTCCAAAAAAATAATCATCAAAACAAACTGGAGTTTAATACTTCAAACTACCTTGGAACAGAAAAGTGTTAGAGGAATTAAAAATGCCTTCCAAATATGTAAATGCTGTCACTTCAAAGTTACTTCATCTTCTCCTTTACCCTTCAAGCTCCAAGTAAATTCTACCCTGGGGAAAACCCTGTGGAAGCTGGGCCTCAGGAAAAAGTTGAAAATTAGGCTATGAACTTAGAGGCAATCTCATGACAACTTTGAAGTGTGTAACCATGACTCATTGGAATAAGTACCTGTAATTCTCCCTTTGGGAAGTGAATGGACTTCTACACATTGCTTGAGAGTGCGTGATGAGGACAGTCCTAAAGAAGCACAATATTAACAGGAAAATAATATTGCTAACAGAGAGAGCCTCTAACAGCCTGCCACAGAGCAGCCAATTTTGGGTGATGGGGCTTTTTGAAAAATGATTAAGTCAGAAGCAGTTTTACCTGCCGGTGAATTTGTGAGTACAAGATAAGTCAGAAGCAGTTTTGCCTGCTGGTGAATTTGTGAGTACAAGAGATGGTCCTTTATTTCCTGTGGTAGTTAACATTTCAATCCTATGTAGTAGCTACAGCTTTTCTTCAAATAAAAATTATAAATCAACTTGGTGTTTCAGTTCCTTTATGGAAAATCCATTCTGTTTTGTGGCTGTTGCAATCAGTTGCTTGTAGTTTGTCCAGCAAGAAGCCATAAACCACATGACCATGTCATGGGGCACCTATTCCTCTGGACTTTCTTGGCAGGAGTCCCCATGTCACGTTTGCTGTGGTAGGTGTACTACTGATAATTTCAGTAAGAAGAATGAGCTTCTAAGTATATATTTTTAATAATTTTACTTTTTTTTTTATTCCTTTCCCCCAGGTTCTTGCTGTTTCTTAGTCTATCATTATCATTCTTTCCTGAAAATTATTAATACTTTGAGGTGGCTCAAGTGGTGACTCCACATTTTCATCATCCCTCCAAGATCTGCAGCTTAGTGAATTCTTACGAATTTTGCAAAAGGCAGCTGCATTAAAATGGCTTTGTTGCTCAGATAAGAAAAAAGCAAATACAAGTGCAGTTAGATGTAGAAATGAACTATGTTCCAGAGCAAGAAGGCCTGTGAAAGAGCACAGTCCCCAAAATATACATCGGGGAGAAGAGTGATACAGGTGTGCTCAGACACAGGTGGCAAGCAATTCTGCTCCTGGGAAGCAAGGAAAACATGGCATGCTGGGCCAGTTTGAACAATGAGGTAATTTTATTCCCTTGCAAATAAATGCCTTGGGAAAAAGTAGAGGCTGTGTGCCAAGAGGCTATTGATCATGTTGCTAAATAAAGTAGTAGCCTCACTTCATGGGAGGTTCTTCAAGAAGAACCTGCTAAGCACTCATGAGGAAAGGACTGGAGCCATCTCAGCATGCCAGCCTAGCACAACACATGCACAGCAGCAAATGGAGACCATGTTCAGTACCAGCCCCTGAGCCAGCAGCTCCAAAATCACCACCTGTGGAGACACTGGGGAGCATTTCCCTAGTTTGGGGAGACACTAGAAGCTTCCCTCAAAAAGCTGTTAGATCCCATTTGCTCCTTTCCCTGTTCCCGTGTCCCTGGGCCACTACCTCCCTATTCCCTGATTGGTCCTCATCTTTGTACTGCTCAGAGACCAGGTTCACCCCTCCGGACAGGGGAGAGCTGGGAGGCAGAGCTGGGGATGGGTGTGCTGGGGGAATCTCTCTGCATCTCAAGGCGTGGCTGAATCAAACATCTGTGGATACCATGCAAAGGTCTTTTCTGCTTCTTTACCCTGGACTTGTAACAGTTCAGACTGCTACAACCACCCATCAGAAGGGACAGGTGGAGCTGAAGGGCCATCACACAGCAGTCCAAAGACACGTGGGGAAAAGTGGCATGACGGGATGGACTTGCCTGGTATCTCCTTTCTCAGGAAAACAAGCAGGGCTGCTGGGGAGTTCCCAGCTAAAGAGCCTAATCGCCAGATGAGTGGGATGGAGGCAGTCAGCAAAAATGCTGCTGTTCCTTATTGGGATCATAGGAATGAGAGAATAATGCTGTGGAGTGGCTCAAGCAGTGAGTCCACATTTCACCTTCTGTCCAAGATTCCATGGCTTGTCCTTGATATTACAGAATAGAACGAGCCACTGTGTTTCTGTCTTCTATGCTATCAATAATGTCCCTAAGTGACTTAGATAAAATGGCAATGGGATTCCATCCTGTGATAAATGGATATGATTCACGCTAACTAAATTGTCACTATACCAATATTTAGAAAATAATTGTCATATAGTAATAACGGAAAAGTATATGTGATTAGTGTTACAAAGCTGATGGGCCCCTGTGCAGATGTTACATGTGAAAAATAGGATACAGGATGTAGTATTGAGATAAGCAAGATCCAAAACAATCAGTCTTGGGATGAACAAAGTTGGGACAATTCCAGGTATGGAATCTAAGTTGTGGTTTTATCTATGAAATAATAAGGCTTATTTTTGGAGCATAATGCTTACTTACATAGCACAAAGTTTAGTGCACGTGTGCAGTCTGTAAGGTTATTCAGAGGACAGTGAGGAAGACAGCAAGCCTTCCTCTGAAAGATCACCAAAAATGCCTGGAGACCCCCTAACAACAAGAGGAGCATGCACCATGCAGCGTAGTGACATAGATTTCAAGAATCAAAAATAGGAGGACATTTACAGAAATATATTGATGAATATGTATTAGCATACAGTATATAAGTTTAGTTTGGATTCCTTTGTTTCATACGTGAAGCAGGGTGAGACGCCCTCCCTGTACCCCAGTTGGTTTTGTATATGCTTTATACGAACCTTAATCACAATTAATCCCTGCCAATTTTTTTTGTATATGCTTGATTATATTAAATATAATTAATTGTATTCATTTATATAAAATTGCTGTTCAATTAAAAGTGTTGCTAAATTCAATTTTGTTTTTTATTAAATTAGACATATAGAACTTCATTCATAACAATCCCATCTTAACTCCAAGTGAACATGTCAAGAAAGGGAATGATAAAATACTAACAGGATGCCAAAGTCACCTTCTGAGTAGAAACCTTGAGCCAAGGGGGAAGGTACAATTGTTGGAGCAGTGAGTGTTGCTCAAAGAATCAACTGTTAGAAACATGAACAGTGCAAAATGGATAAGTTCTGGAGCAACTTAGTGCAAACATATTACTATTCTGAAGACCAACAATACTTCTATAGCCATCATCCATCTGCTTCTTTATTGACTAGATATCCCAGAGTCAGTCTTGCTGCAGTTTCTAATCTATGATGAAGGTAAGAGGAGGGTTTTACAGAGGTACTGGAGGGGCTAGGATGGCTGGCACTATCTTGGTAGTCCCTGAGTATCCTTTATCTGTCATGAATGGCTTTGAGGATCTGAGGAACAAAGGTCCTGTTCCCTGCTGTTAGCTGGGGTCCTTTGGTCATGCTCATTCCACCATGGATACTGATGCTTACTTAAGCCAGACTGCGCAGTATGACATCAACCACACACATCTAAAGAAAGTTAATACCTTACTATTTAGAAAATCAATACACTTTCATAGTATAAAGACTATTTGGTACAATAGTTAATGAATGAGATTTTCCTGATTAGCTGGGGGCCGGAGGCCTAAAAGGAGAGAGGCAAAGCCAAAAATACCCTCTGTTGTCCAGCTGCAGCCCAAAAAGCAGCTGGATGTGGGTTATCTCCCCATTGGATTGACAGGCTTTCCGCTTCTCAGAGCAGTTTGTTTACAGCTGTGTCCAAATAAACGTTGCCTAACTTTATTTTTTTTTCCCCGCTCCTGTTATTCCTGCGGAGCAAGTTGGATTCCTCTCTGACTCACCCATGATTAACTAACTTCCAGCTGCATTATCTTTATTGTTGCTGCCGATGCACAAGCCAGCGCTCAGCACGACCCGTGGATCCCAAGCTGTGCTGGCGAGGCTGCCACTTACAGAAAAGGATTTTTTTTCCAACAGTTGTGGTGTTTGGGAAATGTTATTATTTTTTTATTTGTGTATTTATTTATTTAAGAGACAGCAAGTACCTGCTGTCTCGGGGACCAGAGAAATGAAAAGAAACAACCGATAACGCTCCCGGGACCGCACGGAGCGGTGCTGCTGGTGGAGAGGCCGCGCTCGGCGGCGGGGCGGCACCGAGGGGGCCCAGGCACACGGCGGGACGGGAGGCGATGGGACAGGAGGGTCCGGGAGCCCCGGCGAGGAAGCGGTTAACGCCGGGCACCAGGATACGGGAAGGAAGGGGCTGAGCTCGGCAGGAGCCGCACGGCGGAAGCTCCCCCGACCCCGACCCCGACCCCGCTCCCGCCGGGAGCCGCCGCCGGACCGGGCGCACGTGCGGGCGCGGCGGCGCAGGGGCACGTGCGGGGCGGGCACGTGCGGCACCGGCACCGGGCAGCGGCGGCCGGGCGGGCACGGAGGGAGGGGTGGAGGGAGGGGAGAGGCGCTCCCGCCGCGCCACCGCTGCCCCCGGGGAGGGCGGGCGGTCTGCCGGCCTCGGGTGCTTTTACCCAGCCGCTCGCCCCTTACATAAGCGGGGAGCCGATCCGCCCCCCGCCATCGTTCCCCGTTCCCCCTTCCCCCTCCGGGAGCCGCCCCCCTGCTGCAGCGATGTGACACGCCCCCTCTCCATCCCTCCCTTCCGTCGCCGTCCCCTCCCAGGAAGAAGCCGGAGTCGGCAGCGCCGCGGGCCCAGCATGGAGTAGGGCGGCCCGGGGCCGGCGGCGCCGCGCGGGCATGGAGCTGGGCCCGGGGCCCTGCGCGCTGCCGCCCGCCGCCGGGGCCGGGGCGAGGGCGGCGGCGGCAGGGGGACCCTGCGCCGAGATGCTGCAGGTGGCGGAGGAGGCCTTCCGCGGCGGCAACTTCGAGCTGGCGGCCGAGATCTACGGCTCCGAGCTGGCGGGGCTGCCGCAGCCCGAGCGGGGCCTGTGCCTCCGTCGCGCCGATGCGTTGGCCAGGGCCGGCCGCATGGCCGAGGCGCTGGACGCCTACGGCGCGGCGGCGCGGCTGGCGCGGCTGCGGCCCGAGGAGCTGCGGGAGCTGGCGGAGAGCGTCGCCCTCAGCATCCGCGACAAGGAGCTGCGCCTCCCGCCCTGGGGGAGCGGCGCGGCCGGCGGCGGCGCGGCGGAGGGCGAGGGGCTGGGCGACCCGGCGTGCTGCCGCCCGCCCGAGCTGTTCGCCTGCCCGCTGTGCCGGCGGCTGCTGTGCGAGCCGGTGACCCTGCACTGCGGGCACACCCACTGCCGCCGCTGCGCCGAGCCCGGCGACTGCGGCCGCTGCCACCGCCCGCGCCGCCCGGCCGAGCCGAGCCCTGCCGCCGCCGCGCTGCCGCCGGCCGCCGGCCGCCCGCGGGTCAACGTGGTGCTGGGCAACCTGCTGCACAAGTGGTTCGGTGCCGAGAGCCGGGCGCGGCGGCTCCGCGCCGAGGGCGACGCGCTGCGGGAGCGCCAGGAGCTGCCGGCCGCCCTGGAGAAGTACAACCAGGCCCTGGAGATGGGTGAGTGGCGCCGGCGGGGAGGAGGAGGAGGGGGCGCGGCGGGGGCAGCGCTGCCCGCCGGCAGCGGGCTGGCCCCCGCAGCCGGGCGGGGAGGGGGCGCCGGGGGGAGGCTGCGAGCGGGAACCCTGCCAGCGGGTCTCCTCACGCCCGCCCCCCGCTCCAGTGAATGGCTATTTTTGTTCCACTGGTATTTTTGTCCTTGCTCTGAAGGTGCTTGGCGTTTAGCTGTTCGCTGCCGATGACTCATTATGCAGTATTTCTAGAAAACCCGCTTTCCTATTTATGGGGAAGCCATCATTCAGTGTAGGATACGCAGTAGTGGTCGTGTTGAGTGAGTATGTGGATCAGATTCATTCAGCTACGTGCAGCTGCACCTTCAGCAAGATAAAAGCTGTGAAAACACCTAATGAGATACCAGTAGGCTCCGAAAATTTCCTTTATCTTGCACTGTGCAAAATACTCAAGATTATCTACGTTTAGCCTTGGAGAGATGGTCCACTCTTGTGGACCAAGAGTGTTTTGAGCGTAGCTTCTTTGTTGACATGCAGGATTTCTGTGTGCAGGGTGTTCTCTGAAGAGCTTGGCTTTAAATAAAATTGCCTGCCTTCGTACTCTGCCAAACCGATGGCAGCCTTATTTTATCAAAACTAGCTTGTTTTCAGGTTCTGCGCCGAGTAGTAGGTGGATCCTGTTCGCTCGGTTGTAGCCTTGTAGTAGTGGATGTGTGCGTGCGTGCGCCCGACTTGTTTGCCCTGCTAGCGGTGGGGGTGGTACCGCACCGTGGATGTCTGGGAGGCATGGAGCCGGGAGAGCCGCGATCTCGGCAAATCCCCCGGGATCTGCCTCCCCTCCGGTCTCAGCGTGATGGATGTCTGGTTTAATCGAGGAGGAAGGGGGGAAAAAAGCCTCCGTCGTTTTAACACTGACGAAATCCTGCGGGTAAATGTCTTTGAAAAACAAGTGTAGGGAAAACTGTGCCGCTCCTCTGTCATTGAGCTCCTTCCTTCCGTGCGTTGGCTAAAAATCGTCTTCCTTGATCGTAGCTGTTACATGCAGGGATTCATGGCTCTGATTTCTTTACATTTCTTTTGCCGTGGAAGGAAAAAATTTCACCGTTATTCCAGTCCTTGACTCACTTTCATTTTTTTTTGCCACGATTTAATGATAGGCATTGGAGATAGAAGAGTTTGGGATGGGATAGCATATTAGCTCCTCACAGCTGATGCTGGCTGTGGAAACCATTACTTCCACTGTTTCTTCCACTTTTCCAGCTAGATGTGACAAGTTTTCAATCCTGAGTGTCTCTATAAAACTATTATGTAGTTTAGCTGAAGTAATCCCTATTAAAGTAGGGCAGGATGGAGCCCAAGAAGGAAGGTGAAGCAGAGGTAGAGGAGAGGCTTAATGTAGGTCACTGGTGGATATGGTGAGTTTTCAGTAGGGAAGCATCCTAATATTTTGGGTTCAGGGTCCTACTGCTGGGGAAAATAGCATCTCATCAATGAAATTAGTGCTTGAAGTGTTTTTTAGAGAACTGTTTCTCACTGTTGTCTCTGCTTCTTGCTGTATCTGCATGGGGGTGAAAGGAGAGGGAAGACTGGTGTGCTGCTCTTGTTGTCACACAGCACGTGTCTTTCTCCTTCCTGTCTCTGGAGCACAATCTCCAGCCATGGCTGTTGTGCATCAGAGTCTCAAGATAACTCCTTTGCATTGTCCTCATTTCTGTCTTCAGTGATTTCCCAAGCAGCCTGGGAGTCCGTTCAGAAACTCCTCACTCTGTCAGCAAACTTTCATTTTCTTCTTTTTAATAAAATTGTAATTGGAAATAATAAAAGGTATCTTGCTAGCTTTTGAAATCCAAAAGCCATAGGTTCACATGGCTGTAGGTTCACTTCCCTGTAGTGGATCTAAATTCCTCCTGATGAAGGGCATCATCTTTTTTTGATGTTTTGTGCATGCTGTGCTGTTCCTCACAAATTGAACTGCTATGTATGAGCCTCATGTTCTTAAATTCTTGCCACATGTTCATCAGGTATTGCTTTTGGCATGCTGGAGTTGCCTTCTTGTTTTCCAGGCGAGTATCATGGTAAATAAGGAAGAAAAACCCCACAGCTCTTTTCTAATTGTTCAGTATTTAAATGTTAGCATGACTTAAATGCACAGGACAGCCCTAAGAGTCACAGCAGATGCCTGAGAACATTGTCCAAAAGCTTCCTGAGCTGCCAATCTTGTGGCTATGACCATTTCCCTGGGGAGCCTGTTCCAGTGGCCAGCCACCCTCTGAGTGAAAAATCTTTTCCTAAAATCCAACCTAAACCTCCCCAGACTCAGCTTCATGCTGTTTCCTCAGGTCCTGTCCCTGGTCACCAGAGAAAAGAGATCCATGCCTGGCCTTCCACTTCCCCTTGTGAGGAAGCTGTAAATTGTAATGAGGTGTCCCCTCAATTTCTTCTACTCCCAGCTGAACACACTTCTGATATGAGAGAAGATAAGTGCTTTTTACAACCTCCAAATGCTCGTGTATTGCACAAGCGTGTCAAGGGCCTGGGTATCATTAGAATTTCTTTTTAGTGACTGAAGGCACATGAACACATTGATTATATAATTGTGATATAAAGCTGGGTGAAATTCCAGGTTTCTTGGCAGTGCACATACTTCAGTGGGATTTTTTTACTGGTGTTTTTTGTGGAATATTTCCTACTCTATTTATTACAACTAGCTTTGGGTGATGCAATATTAAAGCAAGTTTTCCTATCACTTTGGTAGTTCTGATTGTGACCTTCTCCTGATTCACACTTTAGTTCTTGAGGTGCTTCAATTCTTGAATTACATTTCTGGTGTCATCTGGAATGTCCGGTACATATTTCAGGCCTGGGAAAAGGTCTACATGCCTTCAAGTTGTCAACTTTTTCCAGTTGAACTAGTTAGTCTTACAAACTCATAGTCTTAGTGAGTATGTTCATCTTTTGTTCTTAACGCATCTACAGCAACAGTGCTGCTCCCGTGTTTACTCCTGTAGTCTGCTATAGATTCAGGTGTGGTTGAGTGGGGTTATAGTTCTTAAGAAAATCATCTTTTCTGTTTGATCCTTCCAGTTCCCTTGAGATGCGATCTCTGCTGTATTATACAAAGTCACTTGCCTTTTTTTTTTCCCTGCTGTAGACATTGTAATAGATCCTCCATTATTGTAAGGTATCTAATTACCACAGCTTCAAAGCAAGCATATGTCAAGCTGCTTGAAAGAAGGCATTTATTTCCAGATGGATCGTTTTTTGTGCCAAGCTTTATGCTGTTCAGCCATCATAATATCAAATATTGCCCAAATGTTGCTCTCATGGCCATTACCCCAGCTTTCTGAATTTCATTTCTGTGGGGATCAGAGCTGGGCTTCCACTCTGACCTCCCTTCTCTTCTAATTAGTCTTTTGATTGTCTGGACTCCTAGGTTAATTAAACTGAGATATATGATATATGTGTGCAGGATTGCTTTGTTTGTGGGGTTGTTTTCTTTTGTTTATTTGGGTTTGGGGCCTCTTTGTGCAGTATGTGCTTTCTGCACCCTTTTTTCTTTCACCTCCTGCTCTCTTGCTGATGGAGATAACTCTCTGGAGGGACTGTGCTTGGGAGGAGTACAGTCATTTCCCTATATCCAGGCATACAGACTCTTTAAGTTGTGTGCCTAAAGTTAAAGTAAGCTAGATTTCAGTGACAAATAAATGTATTTTGAGAATATGCTTTTCGGAGTGTGTTCTGGTTTTGGTTGGTTTTTTGTTTTAATTTCTCCAGTTCTCAGTTACAGAAGCAACAGGTAGCTGTTGCTTCATTGGGAAGATTGTGAATAGAGCTTTTCCCAAGTATAGCTCTAAAAGAGATGAAACTCTTGTTGGGATGAGGGTACATTCATTAGACAGCATAGATGTTACAGGTCTTGGGTGGTCTCTCAAGCCTGCCCACAGGGCTGTGGCTTTGCTGGGGAGAACTGTGACCTTGTTGTGACCACCTGACCCTAATCTTGAATGAGCTTCTTTGGGTGTGGAGAGGTGACCCTGCCTTGGCTCCTGTGGTGTGATGTGTGGTGCTTTTTTTGCTTGCTGTGTGCTGTACAGTTGGGTCCCAGCCCTGAGGGTGGCACACATCCTATCTGGATGCTGGCATTCAGGACACCTTGTTTCTGCATGAGACATGTTGGCTTCGGTGTGTAGTTACCCACTGCTGCAAAGTTTATCAGGCCCGAGAAGATCATTGTTTCTGGAGGGCTGTAAGAGCTCAGCAAACACTCAAAGTGGTTGTGTTTACTTCTGGTGTGATGGGCTCTTTCTGAGCAGAAGTATGTTTGTCCTGGGGCAGGGGGGGATAGCTAATGCATGCAGCCACTCACATTGCCCAGAATTTTTCATCCCTGCCAAGGGTTCCAGAATGAGCGTATAGGAGATAAAGCTCAGCTGTATCATGGAGTTTTCAAAACACAGGGAAAGATTGAGGCCTTAGGAGGAAAAGGCTCCTTTGCACATACATCCGTGTGGATCTTTGTTTCAAGTGATAAAGGATGGTGGTGTAGGAAGGCCAAGGAGAGGAGGTGAGTTTGTGCCAAGCCCAAAGTAGTGTTAGAGGTAGCAGTGGTGCAGAGCAAGCAAGGGGGATGCTGCTGTGTGGCGGCTGGGGTTGCTCCATCTCTGGTCTCTCAGAGTGGAGAGCTGCTCACTGACCTCTGGTCCACAGGGTGGTGGTTGTGGTGTAGCTAGAAACAAAATGCAGAAGCTTTCTTGAGCTTTGGTGGAAAGAAGAGTATCTACCTCTCTTGGCCAGACCTTGGAGAACCCTCCCCTCTCATCCCAGTGGATGATCATCATAAATTGGTCTCATCCAAAAGAAAGCTAATTGTGGCCACTCAACACTAATTACTTTTGTGGTAAAGCAATTAATGGAAATTTATCTGATGCCTACCAAATTCTCTCTGTAAGAGTTGAATTAAGGGGGTGAGGCAGGCCAGGAGGCACTAGA